TGATAAATAGGATTTCATTGATAGCTTCAATGGTTAGCTATTGTTTTAAAATAATAAACTTTTCTTAAATCGATACTAACTACAGTATGCTGGTAAAATTGGATCAAAAGTAAATACAAGCGATCAAATACTAAGGTAAATAACTATGTACGAATATGTGTGTCTATTATAGGGCCTTTTTTGTTTTATATTAATTTGCTTCCTTTTACCATGTGGCAAAGAATTGTTTGTCGATGACAACTTTCTGATTTTTAGAGTGGATAGATTGATCAAGAATTATGACGATAGTTTATATCGTATACTAATAATTCTGAGGCTATTGTAAAATTTAATAATAAATCCTACCCTTGATATTATTAATTGAACCGTGTTGAAAAGAAATCGTCTGTCATGATTCCATAACAGACGATTTTTTTCAACTTCTGGGCATGTAATGCTTATAATAAATAAAATATTTTAAAGAAAGTATTACATATGAATGTGGATGTGTATAAGAGCAGAGGAAGGCCGGTGAAGGATGATATGGCAATAAATAACAAGATGACTGCGAACAGGGATGAAAGGAAGGCAAAAACATATTACGCTGACCCAAAATGAATGGGATAATGAAGCAGATGATGAGTTAATAGGTATTTTATTGGAATACGCATGGTAATGATGGGCATTAAATTTTACTAAATGATACCGACAGACATTTTGGATGCACTTTTTATTAAATTAAATAGTTTATTAAGAAATATTTACTGAATAAAGCCTATTTATTACTCGTTAAACGATTATTTCAGAGACCATCTTGTATGGCTTTAATTGTTCAGAGAAGGAATTATTTTAAATATATACACTATGTGAATGGTATGAAATTTCAAAATAAGAAATTTAAAAAAATAATTATAATTATTATATTAAAAAACAAACCAGTTGAGATTCTTGCCACTTTTCTCAACTTGGTCAAAATAGATCCTGATAGTGTTAAAAATTATGATCATTATAATATTAAAAAAATAAAATAAATAATTGTATAATAGGCCGAAAAGTCCATGAAGAATATATATTAATTTAATTTGAATTTTTATATTTGCTTCCTGGTTTAGTTTCTTCTTCTTACACATATGTTTTGCTTGGTAGTTATGTCTGAATCTGTGTTTATGTTTTATTTTGCTTTGCCATATTTAATCATTTCTTCATTCTTATTCAGCTACATGGATCTATGTACTATACCTACTTAAAAAGTAACTGTTGGATATTGTTGATTAAATGTGTTTCATTCATGCTAACTCTATGGTGACTGTACAGTGACAGATAGTTTTAGCATATCTATCTGTGTTTATAAATCACTACTCTGTGAGTTTTACTTGAAATTTGATTACGTTGGTTTTGTGTAAGATTCTCGAATAAAATTTTCGTTTCCATTTAATATTTTATTATCGACGAATATCAGTAACAAAATAAACACAGTATTATAGTTGTGTTTATCGTGGGAAATATCTCGTTTATGTAATGCGTATAATAGGAACATAATAATTCGTAATCACACATTATTACTGAAGACCATGATGACCTTTTATCTTGTCTTTCACAATCTAATTGTACCCTATAATAGAATTTCAGCTTCCAGAGATAGCTCATAAGAATTGAAGAAAAACTTCCATTATAAATAAAAAGAAATAAATTAGTATAACGTTATATTTATTATTTGACAAAACAAAATTCACTAGACTATTAAAAAAAGAAAATTACAAAATAAATAATTTGTGTGCGTACATTAAGATCACAGTCACTATTATATTAAAATAAGTTAATTATTTGATACATTATTATGTTGTGTATTTATTGTGTTTTGAATCTATTGCCTGTTTTTGACGTGGGTGTAAACTTCATGCGCTGTGCCAGCTGCACCAATCACTCCGAGACCCTTTTTCTAGAACAAAAAAAGTAAATTATAATACAAATACTGCTAATACTCTATTATATCATGCAGAGCGTGTATTTTATATTTTAAAACGATTTTAATTATATAATAAAAAAGTGCAAAACATTGTCCTTACAATAATTTTGCCACCCTTCTTGATGGCGCCAATAGGTATCTTGGGATCAGCTTGACCACCACCCACAAACAGCGCGAACACTGCCATGATCATGAGGAATAGACTGGTCAGCTTCATGGTTGCTAGTGAAGTGTTCTCTGGGAGTGAGGACTACTACGACTGTATACACAGCTGTTGTCACAATGAATGTGATTCTCAAGTCAATGTCTGATTTAAATAGTCACTACACTTTCCTGTTTCTTTAGACGTCAATGAGTATTACTGTGTTGGTTTATTCCATTCAAAGAACTAAAATTTCTGTTGTATGACTGTAAGGAATGTGTAATATACAAATAATTTTACCAGAAGTTACTGATAACTTCCTTGTTAATAGAAAACGATTACACTAGCTTTGTTTTTACTGTATAAAGTAACAAACTTTATTTATTTCTGCAGGCAACTATAAAATAGGAATTTTAACTTCAATGCACAAAAATAATGTGTAGATTTGAATTAACACCTTGGGACGTTATCTACCTGTCAACCATGAGTGGTGCAAAGAAAAATAGAGTTCGCGGTGTACTAATATAAATGAGCCATGTCATAAAAATATATAATGCATGCATCTATAAATTTCTATAAATAATTTTGCATATTAAAAATATACACTTATATAAAAGATAATATATACTATTTTATTTTGGTTTGTTGTGATTATTTTATTATGTTTGTTGGTTACATTTTATTATTCTTTGGATTTATAAATATTTCTGAGAATTCCAATAATAAATAGCAAGCTTTGGGTAGTTCGAATGGCTATTAATTGTTTCAAACTAAAATAAACTTTTCCCAAATTCGAAACTAACTACAGTTTGCTGGCAAAACTAGATCGGAAGTAAGTACATGCGATTGAAACTGGAAGGGTCGCCAGTTGATAGTAAAACAATAAGGTGAATGTGTCCGCTAGGGAAATCCAAAACGCATAATTGTTTTATTCGTTGAGTTTACTTTACGAACTATTTTATAAGTTCAATTACAAGTTACGTAGTACACGCAGTAGAAAGTATTTATTTTCTTACAATACAGTACATTTTCTTACAATTAACCTTTTCAAGATTTATTGTAAGAAAATGTACCCACCGAATATATTTTTTAAATAATTTAAATAGATAAATGGGTACAAAAAAAAATAAGATAGAAACGCTGATCGTCGTTTAGCGTGATATTTTGCAGCTAAAACTTTATTTTTGTTACTCAATTCTTACTTTGTTCTTATCCTGCCATACGGAGTTATAACTAAAGGATAGTATCGACATACTTCAGTTATAAAAGAAATAAAATAATTCATAACCATTCTTCATATATTAGACATGTAAGTTTGTTGTTCATGTTGGTTTTGTGTAGTGGGTACAGGTTTGTTTTATTCCATAAAAAAAAATCATACTCTTTTTTATCCAAATTCACGTGGGCAGCGCCACAGAATACAGCTAGTCATTATATGACGTGTCTCAGTATCAAATTTCATGTACCAGTACTTTTTGCGTGATATATAACAAATATCTACTCATCCATCCTCAGAAATTCTCGCGTTTATCATATTGGTAGGAAGTAGAATAGTAGCAGTGTAATAATTTTACTACCAGCTGTATTAAAATGGCTGTAATAAAGCTACGTTAAAAAGGTTTTTTTACAAAACAAGAATAATTTTAAGTAAATGTTGCTGGACGTATCTCTTGAAAAACTACTTATTTTCCAGTGTTTCAAGTGTATGTTTGGGTCTGTAATTTAATTTTGAGTAAAAACAGGAAAGGCATATTTTATGTAAATGGACAAAAAGCTGAATTACGAATCCCACGAATTAAGTAGGCATTAGCAAGTAGGGCTTTTTCTTGTTGTCTTGGAGACATTATTAGTTACGTAAATATGAATCCAGTCCCATGTCCCAGTGTTCATAGTTTACAAAAGGTTAATGTGTTGCGTGTATATTTAATAATTCACAAATATTATTAAAAATACATGAAATTTCAAAGAAGGTAAGTCGCCAAGAAATATTTCCTACTATAATGAGTTGAATGGGCTTGTTATGGTAGGGTATTGCTTTTGTCTTCATAATTTTAGGCTTTGATGTTACATTGTTAATAATATTCTGTGATATTAACAGATAATACATACAGCTATGATGACCGTTGCTGAACCCAGTCTATATCTATTATTTATTTAATAATCTGTAGCAAAGTTCGTTCGTACGTTCGGCGCGGAAAAATAAGAAAAGTGTTTATTGAGAATATATTTTTTATATCTACTTCTATTGAAATTTAGATTGTCCTGTTGTATAGTGATTATGCATTATATAAATTAAAATATATTAATTATTTGTATAATCTACTAACTTGAAATTACATAATTTATCTAACACTACTATGGATATACCAAACAAGTATTCTTATTGCCTTTAAGACTTAAATAAAATCAGAAAATACAGATAGCTTAGATAAGAGAAGCTTATGTAACTTAATTATTTTCTTTATGAAACACCTGTTCTAAATATTATTTAACATATGTGATAAATACACAACAATTTCTTACTGATATATTAATATTATAACAAATATGACGTTATCAAATATTCACATTGAAATCTGTATATTTACCTGATTATGTTACCATATTAAAACAATTTTAATTTGATATGTTTTTTAACATATCAGGAAAATGTGTATTACTGATTAGTACATACCTAGTTTTATTATCGTACGTTACACAGAATAATATTGGGAAAATATTTTACATTAATGCGGAGAATCCCAATACAAGTTATTCTAGGAACTAGTGGTACCTACTAACAAAAGAGATACGTCGTCGCGTCGTGTAAATCTGAAAGCCTTTATATAGTGGCCTGTCTATTGATTGTCTACGAGTGCTTTGTCTTTACGTGTTTGGCGTACATAGTTACTGGAAAAATAACAGCTTCTTAAAATGAGATTTAGTTTAATATTCTTCATGGTTATGGGGATCATTGCCCTCTTTATTGGATCAAGTGAAGGAGCGCCCAAAGTAAATTTTAAAGCAATCAAGAAAGGAGGAAAAGTAATAGTGGGTAACAAATAAAAGAGCAAGAAAAATATTATTGGAATTTTGTATATCTCATAATTACATACTAACATACAGCTATACTACTGTGTCTAACTAGGTGTACGTATTTACATAGTAATGTAAATACGTATACCTAGTTACACAGTAGATATGATTTTAATCAGAATATTAACGTCGGAAATTTTTATTAAGTATTGTAAAATTTAGAGCTATCTTATCCACACTTATATACTAACGGAATTCCTGTTAAACTTATATTAATCGAATCTGACATTCCTTGTATTGGAAGCGGTTTCTTTCATATAAAATACCTCCTGTATTTTATATGAAAGAAATCGAGTGCCAATTATTGATTATCGAATTTTTGCCTATTTGTTTTTTTATTACAGGGTAAAGGATTTAAAGTAATCAGTGCAGCCAGTACAGCGCATGAAGTTTACGAACAAATTAAAAATAGAAGGCATGGTTAAAACATAAATAATTTAATTTAATGAATGGAATAAAATGTTAATGTAATTAATATTTATAATATGTATATATTTATAAGCAACATAAGAAACTTTTATTTGTTTATTCAAATTGGTAGGCCGTTGCGTAAAATACATTGAAAGGCATTTGTAATGCATACCGCAAAATAATTGTTTCGTAGGCAATAAAATTGTTAAATATTTTGGTTAGTCAACATATATATAATATGGGTACACCTTCCTTAACAATATATTATACTTATTTAATTTTCACTGTACTTCAGGTACGTAACTCAAATAAGAGTTTTAACTATCAATTATTAATAAAAATAGACATAAGTTGGTATTTGTACGTAATAATTCTATGTACCTAATAATTTGTCCGCTGGGTCGTCAGTATGTTTTTCTTATGTATTTGTAATGGTAGACAAGCTATGGTAATCGATGCCTATATTCATGAACGGCACTTAGGACATCACGTAATTTCACAGCCTAATCTCACCCTATAATCGAAATCCAGCTTACAAAGCCAGCTACTTCGCAGCTAAAATAGGTGGCACCGACAACGGTGGTGTGGTAACCAAACAGAAGACTTTACAGTGTATCTCAGCTAATCTTGCAAATCCTTATTATTAATATTATAAACGTGAAAGTAGGGATATTTGTAACGATTTCACGCGAAAACTACTGAACCGATCATCATGAAATTTTGTACACATATTTTTGGAGGTATTAGAATGAAGATATACTTTTTATTTAAAAATAAACCAACTATTTTTTATAATAAAACAAAACAAAATTAACATTGCTACTTCAGCGCCATCTAGCAGCCTGTATTGAAGTAATGCGAGCGAAGCCTCGGGCAAATGTTAGTATGTATTATAAACTCGAAAGATCGTGATTCATGTATCATGGATGGATGGATGTTTGATACTTTTTTACGCAAAAACTACTAAATGGATTTTAATGAATCATTACAATAATATAGCTTAAGAGGAGAGTATGAGGAGTGTATTCCCCGAGCAAATAAGTACTGAGGTGATATATTATTTAAAGTGTAAACTGTTGCTATAATACATAATAAGTTTTAATTATGTATTAAATCTGTGCTATCCATATATTGTTTTATGAAGTGAACTTGGTAGCGTGGATAGATTTAATGAAGATAAATTGTCTTTTCGATAGACTGGTATGTAATTAAAACTTACATTTAGTTAAACAAGTTTTGATTGTCTTGTCTAATAGAATCTTATTTAGACAGAGACTAGGTAATTTGATATATATTGCATACTTTAAAGAATGTAATATAAAGGTACCCACTTCAGACTACGGTGATACTCGTAGCGTAAATAAAGCAAAATTTGTTCAAGCACAGAATACAAACAGATCGTAAAAATGTTCAAAATTATTTGGACAGAAAAAGTAATAAGATATTTAATTAAAGTTTTGTTATATATAGTAGATATTAGAGTAGAAAATTTATGGTTCATAATTCTTAATACTTTACTAATAACTATTATGACGTATGATCCAATAATATGCAAACAAATAAGAGCGTCGTGTCGTCTGGTCGACAGACCAAAATAGGAACCTTTTGTTAAAACCTAATATATGTATATTAATACGTAGTTAGAGTATTGATTAGAATAGAATAGAATAGAAAATCATTTATTCAAATAAACTTAATTTAAGCACTTTTGAATAGTCATAACAATTTGTTTTTTATCTACCACTTGTTCGGAAAGCTGTCTCATCACAAGAAGAACGAGCAAGAAACTTGTGTGCTGCTCTTTTAAATAATCCTTGTAAGTTTACATTTACAAGTGGAAACGTGTGAATACAAACTACCAACAAGCACTAATTTTTTGGGTCAAATATAATCATGCAATAAGATTAAATCAGTCGTAGTGATAAGAGCAGACCAGTCCCTACAAGCAGCACTTGTTCACGAGTATGACGGATGAGCCAGCCATCACTGCGCTCGACCATATTTTAGGGAGCCCATTGACCCGGCCCACCACGCCGCCACATGTCTGGACATTTTAGTGAGCATGACTACTCATTCCACACGACCACGTCAAAGCTACAAAAATTACTATATGGTAGTTACAGTATTCGCACTTTACATAAGGATGCATGCGGCAATCAATACAAAAGCCGCTACGCTACCATATATCAAGAAAGCAGTATGAAAATTAAAATTATAACGTTGTCCGCAAATAAACTTATTCTTACTATATATTGCTATCATCTATAAATTCATCTATCTTATAATAGGCTTTTTTACATAACATTTGTTTAATATAAGATTTGAATTTTGCACCGATGGGGGTGGCATATTCTCCGGAATAAACCCTCAATATTTAATAGATTAAAAAAAAAAAAAAAAGATTTGAATTGCCTCTCTGTAAGATTTAGCGTAGACTCTGGCAGTTTATTATAGAATCTTACGCAATTACCATAAAATGAATTACTAACTTTGTGTAGACGGCATTTAGGTAAAATTAGCTTATTTTTATTGCGTAAGTTTCTACTTGTACAGTCTTTAAGTTTCTTGAAACTATCTAAGTTTTTCCTTGTATACATAATATTTTCATAAATGTACTGTGAGGCAACGGTGAGGATATTTGATTGTTTAAAGCATTGACGTAATGACTCTCTAGAACCCATATCATAAATAGAACGTATGGCTCTCTTTTGTAAAATAAATATAGTATTTATATCGGCAGCTTTACCCCATAGCAGTATGCCATATGACATAATGCTATGGAAATAACTAAAATATACAAGTTTTGCCGTCGCCACGTCTGTTAATTGCCTTATCCTTCTAATTGCATAAGCAGCAGAACTAAGTCTACTGGCTAATTTTGAAATATGGGGCCCCCATTGTAACTTCGAGTCCACTGTTATTCCTAAAAAAACTGTATCATTAACAAAATTAACTATTTCATCATTAAGCAATAGCTGCGTATTTACTTGTTTTACATTAGGCAGCGTGAATTTAATGCACTTAGTTTTGTTGGAGTTCAATAATAAATTATTACATGTGAACCAATTTAGTATAGCAGAGATAGCATAATTTACATCGTCTAATTGATTACATTGGCGACCAATTTTAAACACTAACGAAGTATCATCCGCAAATAACACTATATCTGCAACTTTCTCTACCATGTAGGGAAGGTCATTTATATAAATTAAAAAGAGAAATGGGCCTAATATTGAACCTTGAGGAACGCCCATTTTTATATTAGTTCCCTTAGACTTTACACCATCAATATCTACAGTTTTATACGGAATACTTATTTAATGTCAATTATATAGGTGAATAACCTTGGAAAATTAACACAGCGCCATCTAGTCCCACAGTAAGCAGAACTTGTGTTATGGGTACTAGACAACTGATATAGATACTTTTTTTTTGTAAATACATACATAATACACATAGAAAGCACTCAGACTGATACAAATAAACATACTCAAGAATACAAATAATTGCACCGTACGAGGAATCAAATCCGCAACCATCGGAAGTAAAGCCATGTTCTAAACAGTTAGACAACCGAAGCCGTCACATAGGTAACACAAAAGAATTTGTAGATAATATGCTGACCTAGTGTAATTCTTTTTATAGGTTTTTATTTACAATAGTATACTATAAATAAACGAAATAGATATAGACATATGTTAGTAATATTATTTAAAAGCTAATTAATGTTATCGCGGTAGATATTCCGTTTATACTCACTATATTTCCTTATACAATGATATTATGCGTTGTGTGTACGAAATTCCATTTCTTCCTCACTTATGGGTAAATTTCGATTCGTAAAAATAACTTGTAATTAGATTCCATATGCTAGAATAGAATATACAATAATAACAAATCTTTGGTCAACCTTTTTTATTAACGAGTATTCGGTAATATTGTAAATTAAGTGAAAAATGACATACCAACAATATATTTCTATAAAATCTTTTGTTTCCGACACCAATTAACACTTTAACACGAGCATGCACTTATGAATACTCAAGATCACTAAATGCATGGCTTGATACAAATTTGGGTACAGGTTTTTTCCCGATGTAATTAATATCAGTCATATGTAGAATCTGACCTCATCAGGGTTATCGTGTCGTGTTTACTAAAACAACAGTCACATTTTTCTCAAGAATATATCTTTACTAAATATACGGGAATGGTAGAGTCCCGATGAATTTATTGTTTTCGTGCCATCACAGTATAAAACAATTGAATATTCATTTTGCTGCACAGTCTACTGGAACAACTGTAACTGAATTTAATATAAGTAAATATTGTTGAAAGAAATATAATTTATCTATTGTGCTGTGACTTAAAAAAACAAAATGAGATTATCCATCATATTTATTGTTGTGATGATGGTGATGTCCATGTTCGTGAGTCCTGGAGATGCGGCACCTGGCAAAATTCAAGCGATTAAGAAAGGCGGGAAAATTTTAGTACGTATCCATCTACATATATTGTCTACTACTAAAATTGAAATGCTTATATATTTTTCTATTTATATAACATTAAATCATACCATAAACAGTTCAATGGCTTTTATTCTATTATATGTATACCTACGAGTATAAATAATAAAATAGAAACAAATTTAAAGATGTTTCAAAGGTAATTTTAGAGGCTGCGATACTTATGTATTTGTTATAAATATTTGAAATATTTAACTGCTTTGTAATGAACAATGTTATTTGAACTTTTACTTTCAAATTCTGAAATTCAGTACTATTATTTAAATTTTATTTTATCTTAAAATTATGTAAAGGAGTTATCTGGACTTAAATAGGAATAATTAATGGTTAGGTAGCTAATGTTTTCTTTATTAGATGCTTTATATTGCTATATTTAGACGCTTATAAATATGTATAGAACAGGAACTATGAAATAGGTGATGGAATTTGTATATATTATCTAGCGTCTATTATCGATTACATATTATTATCCATATATGTCCCATATT